CCCCCCCCCCCCCCCCCCCCCCCTCCCTCCCTCTCTCTCTATCTCTCTCGCTAGCAGGGAGTCAGCCGATGAGCAAGCAGAGCAGCAACACTCCATTACACACTCATCCCTCTCACCAGACAGAACACTCGCAGCCCCCAACGTGACGTGCAGGCGTCAGACGTCATTGCCCGTGTCGACTCCCTTGCGCAGCGCAGCGACGCCCTCGAACCTAGCCGCATCCCTCCCCGCCCCTCCTCGTTCACCGTCACTGCCAGTGACCAACACAGCCGCTTTCTGCTGATCGTCGAACTTCATGGCCAGGTCGACGATCTGCTGCTTGAGTGTGTCGCCGTAGCTGGTGCTGATGGTGGTCAGGGCTGGGGGGCTGCAATGGGCGCTGTGGCTGTGGCTGGAGGTGTTTGTGTGGGTGCTGTGTATGGCTGCGGCGATGAAGGACTGCTGGAAGAACTCGCCGGTGCATGGGAAGGAGACGAGGGGCGGCTCGTCCTGCTTGGCCATGGGGATGGTCTCCAAGTCATCCAACGACACACCTGGCACCACCCACGGCAGTATGGCCCGGATGGTGTTGCCGTGTGTGACGATGACGACGTCGTTGCCCTCAATGATGCTCGCGCGGATCTTGGTCTGGAAGAAAGTCCACAGCCGACGCTGCACGTCCACCAACGACTCACCTCCCTGCAGCCATTCATCCACCAATCCTGAACAAATGGCCATCTGTGTGTGGATCAGCTCACTCACCCAAGTGGTGCAGGGCGGCCCGCCCTGTGGCGGCCGCAGCTTGGCGTTCCGCCGCCACCTCAGTATGCGGTCTCGCCCAAAGAACTGAATGGCCTCTTGCCGCTGAACGCCCGTTAGTGCGCCGTAGTGCCTCTCCTTCAACCGCCAGTCCATCTGCACGTCGACAGAGGGGTCGAGCTGTCCCCTGTCGACGAGCAAGTCGCGGATGATCTGTGCCGAGACGTATGAGCGGTGTAGGGGGCTGGTCCATATGACGGTGCGGTTGTGCTGCAGGGGTGGGGTGAGGGCGGCGAGCTCCTCGGCCTGGTAGAACGAGTCTTCATACCCCTCCGGCCGCTTCAGAGGGCTGTCCACCCATCCCTGCATACGGTCCTCGACGTTCCACTCCGACCTCCCATGACGCACCAATATCAGCCGAGGCCCAGAAGAGCCACCAGGGGCAGGCAGCGGACACACGTCGGGCGCGGGCAGCTCTCTGTCGGTGAGCTCTGGGTCATAGAGAATCCTCACCTCGTCGGGCGTCAGCTCCCATACATATGCGGCCTCATCCGTCCAGTTGCCCTCGGGGATGCTGAAGGATGACTGGTCGGCCGAGGGTGAGAAGGCCGGCACTCGAAACAGGGCGGGCGGGGGGGAGGGGGAGGAGGGGGGCAGCGGGGATGAGTCCGCATCTGCTTCTGCTTCATCGCGTGTTGCTGCGTGCCGCCTGACCATCCGCCGAAACAGCCGTGAGTGATGATGGCGATGATTTGCTAATGGGATGAATGCCCGCCGCCTCTCAGATGCATACGCATCAGCCCGTCTGCCCAGTGATAGACCGCTGCTGCTGCATCCACTGCGGCCGCCGAGAGATCTTGAGCATTGTGCGAGGAAGTTCATCGCAAGAGCAATCGAAGCGGCAAAAAAGCGCCGCTTTCGTCCGCCTGGCGATAGAGCAGCAGCCGCCTGGTCACATCTGCGCCGGGACGGCCCGAAATGCCTCCTGCCTCGCCCAGCATCGCCCTGCATCCAAGGGCTTGACTCCGTCATCACGAGCAGACGATGATCTGGGATATATCAATGGCCCAGCTCTATGCAATAGGGTTCACAAGCACGATACGTGCGTCTTCTCTTCCAAATCTGCCAGCCATTTCGGTGCGAGCTCGAGGACGGCAGGTGCGAGCTTAGCTTCCAGTTCTTTCTTTCCGGAATACAGTTGCCCTCCATGGCAGTCACTGCAGCCAGCGATCGATGCACTCCGTGTGATTGACTCATTTTTCATTATGCGGTCATTCGGCCCGCCAGCAGACGAGGCCTCCCATGCTTCGGCTGCCTCGTCGTGCACATCATCACGCCAGGCCACCGAGCAAAGGGCGAAGATGCCGTCACAGTCACATGAGAGGCGGAGGGCTGCTGGCTGGCACCTGAGGGGGACGGCTGTGATGCTGCTGGTCTCTTGGGCGGCCGGCTGGTGGACAGATCTGGGAGCCTGTGAGCGGCGGAAGTCACCTTTTGGCTTCATCCAGGTCAGCTTCACATGCACGCACATTGCGTCATGTGTCCTGATCTGTCTGTCTGTCTGTCTGTCTGTCTGTGTGCGCTTGCACTTCATCTTCAGAGCTTACCAGCCCTCGGCCGGCTCTCGTTGCGGAAGCGGGCATATGTTCCCCTGCCTGTCACGATGGTGGAGACCCAGGAGTCTTTCAACGCCCGGCTGCGCGCCATGGGCAGCGGCAGGGGGGCCAACATCAACCAGATTGCCAACAGCCACCAGGCGGCCAACAACCACGCCGCCGCAGCAGCAGCATCCAGGGGTCCTCTGCTGTCGTCTATCGAGACGTTAGACAGTTTCAATGCTCGGCTGAAGCGGCTGCGGCAGCGGCCGCCCGACGAGGACACATCTATAACACGACCTATTAACCAACTGGTGAGTGAGGCCATGGGTGTGTAGGTGCCTGCCTGCCTGCCTGCCTGGACGTCTGCGCATTCTGTCCGTCTGTCTGCTGGTGTGTGTGTGTCTAGGTTGAGGATGACGTGCAGAATGTGGTCATCATCGGCTCAGGCCCGGCGGGCTACACGGCAGCCCTCTTCAACGGACGCGCGAACCTCAAACCGCTCGTATTCGAGGCAAGCAAACAACACACACATTCGCGCACACAGCACGTGGCTGTCTGTGTCATGTCATGTGTGATTGTGCTGTTTGTTCATCGGTCAGGGGATGGAGGCTGGTCCACCCGGCGGTGCGCTGCTGATGACGACGTTGGTAGAAAACTTCCCTGGCTTCCCTGACGGCATCCTGGGGCCCGACCTCGTGCGCAACATGCGCATGCAGGCGCAGCGATGGGGCGCTGAAATGGTCCCAGAAGATGGTATGTCCGTCAGACAGACGGACAGACACGCGAGAATGGACATTCATCTCTCTCTCTCTCTCTGTGTGTGTGTGTGTGTGTGTGTGTGGCTGTGTGCAGTTGTCGAGGTGGATCTGAGCCAACGTCCGTTTCGTGTCCGCAGCCACTCGCGCCACGTGCTGACCCAGGCCATCATCTTTGCCACCGGCTCCAAATTCAACCGACTACGTGAGTACCCGACCAAACCTCCTCACCTACAGAAAGATGCACACACACACCGAAGGTCTTGTCTTTTCGCCGTCCATCGATCGATCAGGCCTGCCCAATGAAGTCCGCTTCTGGAACAGGGGCATCTCGTCATGCGCTGTGTAAGCAAGCCGTCAGCCATGCACACACACACACATACACACATACACACACAGCTTAACCGGCGTCTCTCCCTCCCTCTCGTCAGGTGTGACGGTGTGGCCCCCGTGTTTCGTGATGTCGATCTGGGTGTGGCCGGCGGCGGCGACACTGCTTGTGAGGACGCCCTGTTCCTGTCCAACTACGGCAACAAGATACACATGTTTATCAGGGGATCGGACTTCCGCGCGTCAAGGGCGATGGTCGCTAAAGTCATCTGCAATCCGAATATCGAGGTCAGTGAGCTGGATGGGCACGTGCAGTGGTTGTGGTGCACCACTAACACGTGTGTGGCTGGTGTGTGCGTGTGTGTGTGGGCAGATTCACTTCAACACGAAGGTCAAGGATGTGTATGGCGACGACGTGTCGCCCGACCACGCCTCGCCGGTGCAGGGCGTCATCGTCCAGGACACCAACACGGGGGAGGAGAGGAAAATTGAGATCAGGGGGGTACGTTACGCTACTCGACTTACACCGCCACACAGACAGACACATGTCCACTGGCGCATATCGAATGTGTGTGCTGTGTCATGTCATCTATCCATCAGCTGTTCTACGCACTGGGAGGCCGGCCGAACACACAGCTGCTCGAGGGCTCGCCAGTGCGGCTCGACCAGGTCACACACACACACAAACACGCACACGGGGACACAGAAAGAGCCAGCCGAGATGTGTATGTGTATGTGTGTGGCATGCATGTTTAGGGTGGTCACATCATGCTGAAGCCCGGCACGATGGAGACGTATCTCGAGGGCTTCTTCGCAGCGGGAGACGTGTCCGACTCACAATGGAAACAGGCTATCACAGGTCGGTGCGTCAGTGAGCTCGATCCTCCCCTCCCCCTCCCCCCTCTCTGTCCATCCAACGCCCGCCATAAAAACAAACAAGGCTGTTTGAGTGGTGTGTATGTGTGGTGGCTTGGTAAACAGCTGCTGGTGGCGGCTGCCGTGCGGCCATCAGTGCCGAGAGGTGGCTGACGTCCAACGGCCTGGCGCGCTTCGTCCCCTTCAAGTGTGACATCATCGACGGGGACCGCAGTAGAGACGAAGAATATGTGGTCAGTGGCTGACTGACCAAATGACGGACGGGCTCCTCCTACACCCACACAGACAGACAGGAGAGGAGTCGGGACCTACCTCTGTGTGTGTGTGTGTGTGTAGGAGGAGCCCGCGATGGAGTCCGAGACGCAGGCCACGTTCGACATCTCCAAGCCGCGGCACAAGGGCGCATACGCACTGCAACGGCTCCAACAAGAAACCAAACCTGTCGTCGTCCTGGTCAGTCCTAACGACCATTAACCCTTCCCTCACCGCATCGCCCTCTCACCTTATATATTCTCTGCTCTGCTCTGCGCATGTGTGTGTCTGTGTGAGTGCAGTACTGCACGCGTACGTGTGGTCAGTGCCGCGTGTTGCGGCCGGCCCTGCAGACGGTGGTGGGCGATTACTACCCCGACGTGCACTTCTGCGAGGTGGACATCGACGAGGACACCCAGTTCGCCAAGGAGCAGGACGTCCTAGGCACACCCACCGTCGCCGTATACCGCTCCGGCAGGCACGTCGGCACACTCAGGTAACCACCCACGCACCTTGGGTGTGGGTGTGGGTGTGTCGGCTCTCGTGTGCATCAATCGTGTCGCGTCTTGTATGTGGTGTGGTGTGGTGTGGTGTGCAGGGGTGTGCACATCAAGCAGGACTATCGCGAGCTGATAGAGGAGGCGATGGGCAGGGCGCCAGCAACCAATCATGTCCACGGAGGGGGCGCATTCGCAGAGACCAGGCAGCTCACCTCATACGCGTGACGACGGACGACACACTTAGAATGGATGGCTTTCCTCTCTGCTAGGGGTGGGTGATACATAAATAAGACTTGGTAGAACGTGTCTATCGCTTTTTCTGTCTGTCTGTCTGCCTGCCCTTCTGGAGTTTCTTTCGTTGGTCGTGAGTGAGAGGGGCAGCCCGGCCGCAAAGAGAGAGGGGGGTTGAGAGGGAGATGGATGACGTGCATGTACACTGTACACTGTTGTGCCCCTTACATGTCTATCTATCGCTTCCGTGCGTCCGTCTGTTGATCGATTTTTGTCCATGTGATGTCCGTGGCTTGCTTGCTCTCTCCCTGCTCCCTATTCGCTGCTTGATTTCCTTTCCCTCTGCCTGCCTGAATGAAGTGAGCGGGGCCTTTCCTGCCCGGCTCGTAGTCTGTTGACACGGAAACATGTTGTAGAGAGAACCCAGCTATCTGTGCGTTGTGTTCTTTTCTTTCCTTCCTCCTGCGCTGCACCCCTTACTGTTGCTTGCATGTACAGAGCACACACAAAGACACAGACACCGGTTTTGACGCATATGCGAGAGATCAGAGAGAGGCAGTTTTCCTTTGATGATGAGAGAGACACAGAAGGAAAAGCCAGGAAGACACTCCCGAGAGTTTTTCATGCATTGCATTGCATGGCTAGCTGTGAGTGGACGCTATTTGTGTGGGATTGAGGGGAGCAGTGAGTGCAAAGAGAGGAAGGGACAGATGAGCCATTGTCTGTATGGCCGGCAGGCAACCCATCTACATCTCTGCATAGGTATTTGGTGTCCGCGTGTGTGTGCACGTGGGTGGAGTGAGTGGACTGAGGGAGGGAGGGACGGTCGTGGATGGACCTTCAATCGTCGAAATCGTCAATAACTGCATGATGTCTGTGTGTGTATAATGGGCCTACACACAAATAGAAAGGGACAACACATTCATCGATCGTCATCCACCCCGCATTCAGGATGTTCTTCTCTCCCTCTCTCCGTGTGATTCATTGCACCCACCCATCCATCCATCCGTCCGTCCATCCATCCCCACACGCGACCCTCAGGTATGCAGACACACGCCCGTCTGCCTGTCCTGCCTGTCGGACCGGTGTCACAGGAAGACATGTTTGGTTGTTCTGATGGGCTGCCTGCACCGCGGACACAGTTGCTGGTCGACAGGAGACCGCATCAGGGTCGCTGCACACTCGCCGCACAGCGAGAAATGACGCTGTACGCCATCCACACCACACATCAGGACAAAACAGACAGATGCGCGATGTAAGTCACTTGTGAGTCGAGGTGTGCATGTTGGCTTACACAGGGAATGAGGACCGTGGATTTCTTCGGCGCCATGCATATCTCGCAGTCGGTGCTGTCACAATCCTCCTCTAGCCTGGACGAATATGGAATACATGTATGGGCAGACGAACTAATGGACGATCGCCTGTGTGTACCTGTCCTTCTTCCGTTTGATGGCATCCCTCTCCTGTTTGATATAGTCGTTTTCCTTCCGCAAGGCCTCGACTTGTTTGCGCAGCACTGCCACCTCACTGATGCCCCCAATGGCATGCTGCTGGCGGTCCGTGACGGACACCATGCAGTCGTAGATGCAGTGGGGGTCCTTTGAGGGAGCTGCCAGACCGCTATCCTGACACATGTCGAAGTACCTGTGTGTGGTGGGGGAGACATGACATAGACGGGGACAATCAAAACCCACACATACACATAGACGTGTGTGTGTGTCGATGTGTGCTGATTGATGTGTATGTGCGCATACGTGTTGTGGCCGGGCTTGGTGTTCCGTTGTTCCAGAATGGCCTCGGAGAAACTGCTGGCCTCGCGACTCGACTTGACCATCTGCACCAATGTGGTAAACAAAATTAGATGCGTCCTTGTCTGTGTGTGTGTGTGTGTGTGTGACCATGATGTGAAAGTCTTCGTGTGGCGAGCGGGTCAGACGCTCCAGACTCTTCGTCAGGCAGCGCTGTTCCTGCCAGCAGCAAGCCATGCACACACACGGATGGATGGAGAGAAAGAGGTCAGCACATGTGTGTCTGTGTGTGTCTCACCAGAGCGAGTGTGTGCTCAGACGGCTTGTCGACCAGCTTCACCTTCACCAAGAGCACGTTCGGCAACACGCTGCAACAACAACACACACAAATACACAAGGGAGAAGCAAGACACCATTTCATGTGTGTGTCTTTTCTGTGTACCTCCTGTTGGCCTCGAGGGCAGCCATGTCCGCTGTCGAGTCGCCGATGGTCATGACGCGGCCGAAATGAATGCCCCTTCCTCTATACACCGCCAACAGATCCACCAGACACGATACCTGCACAGAACACACACACACACGATGGCGCCCTCCCTCCCTCCCTCCCTGCAAACGTCCTTTGTCTGTCTGTCTGTCTGTCTGTGTTTGCCTTCCATCGGGTCGACGACGTCTTGCCCCGGCCGTTGATGTGGGCGTGTTCACGGGCGGAGATGACGGGAATGCTCTGCTGCTGCAGCACACGCCGGACCTCCTCATATCCACCAGTCTGCAACGCCTCACGCAACCTGACAAACAAAGTCAACGCAGCCATGTCCACTCGTGGAGTGTGGCATATGGCTCCGTGTGAGAGTTTTTGTGTGTGTGCGTGTTTGTGTTACCATCTGGGCGACGCATTCGACACGATGGTGACCTGGCTGAGCTTGTCAGCCGCCCGCAGCAGGTCGGCCGCCCACTTGCCGCCCTCAGCCTTCTGCAGCTTGCCGCCGGTGGCCATGACTACAGTGGTCGGAACTGAGAGAGGAGGAGAACCCACATTGAAAGCAATCCATCCATGGGATGAGTGTGTTCTCTGCCTGCATTGCCTACAGATGGTGTCGTCGAAATCACAGAGTATGAGCGTGTCCGGTTCTGGCTCAGGTTCGTGTGCAGCAGTATCTGGCTCAGCCGAGGAGCATGCAGGTGGCCTGGCGGCGTCTTCGGGCTCCGGTTCGGAAGCTCCACTACCTCTCGCTGTGCCGCCGTCAGTGGTCCTTCGCTGATCCCCGCATGGTCCGTCGAACTTCGACGGCTCTGGCTCGGGCTGGGCGGCCACCGCTGAAGAGCTGTCAAATTGAGAGCTGCCGTCCATGCCGCTCTCATGGCCGCTCTTCTCCATGGGGAGGAAGGAGAGAACAATGTTCCCCCCGTCGGGATCGCGAGCTTGAAGGCGAACTTGAAGTTCCTCTGTCAGTTTGTTCGTTCGCTAACCTCCACACACCACAACTCGCTGCCCGACAGGTGATGGAGATGAATCCTCAGCCAAGGCGTCGGAAGACGCGCTTCGACATCCGACCTGACCAAGCCGAGGAAGAGCGAGATGCTCCTGTGGTGGACGCTGCTACATATCCTCCCGCCGGTGTGGATCCCATGGCGATGCTGGAACAGCAGGCGGCCGACGGACCTCCGGATGGACCCGATACGGCCCATGCAGATGGTGCTGAGGACGTCAGGGAGGACGGTCAGGAGCGACACCAGCAGCCGCCTGCCGCTTCATCGGATAATCATCAAGCCGCCCCTGTCGTCGTGTCTGTTTCTGACGCATTGGTGAGGCCCGGCCCTTCTCGCGCGCCACTCACCATCCGACCCATCGCAGACGAGGTGCTCATTGCCCGCGCCAAGGCGTCAAGCAAGCCGCCTGCTGCTGCTGCTGCTGCTGGTGCTCGCACCGACGAAGAAGAGAATGAGAATGAGAAAAGCAAGCGGCACAAGCGCGAGAGGTCTGAGGAAAGGAACAGGGGCTCGGAGATCTATTATGACGAGTGTGACGAGCGGGGTAAGCGACGGAAGAGGCGGAGGTCACGGCGGCTTGATGAGCAGGGCAGGCCGGATGAACATCAAGATGAAGATGGCAACGAAGGGGACAAGCAGGATGATGAGGGCGACCTGGGTGCAGCGGACGAGTACTTCGATCCGGTGGCGAGGCTGCTGCTGCGGCGGGAGGAGATACTGGAGCAGCACTCCTCAGCACTGCTGGGACAGAAGAAGCTCTAGCCAGCGAGACGGCAGCGGCTGAGTGATTCAGTGATTGACTGATTGATTCACTGGTTAGGTGGACGGATGGATGGTCATGGATGGATCCGACCTCTCTGTGTGACTGTCTGTCTGTCTTGTACATATAAATGTGTACGGATGCAGTGCATGTGGATGCGTGTGAAGCAATCTATCTGAGCGAGAGACCAATCAATCAATTTCAATCACATCGATCACTCACCGTCCCAGAGGATGGCATCCGTCACACCGCCGACACCTGTGAGCCAGGCCGCGCCCATGGAGGACACCCGCACGACGACCGACCGAGTGCGCAGCTTCGTCGCCAGAACCGCCCACACGCTCGACCACTTCAAGCAACCGGACTTCGCTGCCGCCCACGTCTGCCTGCTGCTGTTTGCGGCCGCCTTCAACTGGTCAGTGCACTCGTCAGTCAGTGTGAGAGCCGTCAGTGGAGTGGAGTGGATGCCTCCATGTGTGGTGGTCGTGTGTGTGTGCAGCTACGTCACGGTGCTGCCCTTCTTCGTGTTGGCGCTCAACTTGCCAATCACCGTGGTCGGCTACCTGCGGAGTGTGGCCTTCGGCGTGCAGATCCCCGGCGCCATCATCTTCGGCATCCTCTGCGACACGTACGCTCGCCCCGCTGCTCTGTTGGCGTTCCTTACATGTCTCGCGTACGTGTCTCCCTGTTCTTGTGTGGTGTTCATTAGGTATGGGTCTCGCTTCGGCTTCCTCCTTGCCTTCGCGTCGTGCATTCTGAGTTTCCTCACCACTGCTGCGGCCATCTGCCAATGGATGCTCTACCGTGAGACCCAAGAGCCATTCCACCGCCAGCCGACACCCACACATGACATGTGTGGCTCTCTCTGTCTATCTGTGTGTCCACTAATCAGTGTCGGTGTTGCTATCGTTCTTCATGCACGGCCTCACAGTCAGCAGCCAAGTGGTTAGCCTCCGCACTTCGGCAAGCGAGAGGGCCTTCCATCTTGGCCTGCTCACGCTCTCATCCTCGTCGTTGGAGGCCTGGCAGGAGGATTCATCGCCCTCGAGTTGAGATCGAACCGGATGGCCGCCCTCTTCTCCGTGGTGCTGAGTGGTGCCGCTCTCATCGTGTCTCAGCTGGCCATCCCCGACATCGTAACGACAAGTGGCGAGCGCTACGAGACGGCCACGGAGATCTTTGGGAGGGCGATGGCATTGCTCAAGGACACACTGAGCCGAAATGTCTCTTCACTGCTGCTGCTGTTCTTCGTGAGAACACAGAGTGACGTCTGTGTGGCCACATGGACGTATCGCTGCCTGGCGTGACATGTGTGCAGGGCATGTTCCCGGTGGTGTTGGCCCGAATGACATTCGCGCCAGCAGCGGTTGAGCTGTACCACCTCAACCAAATCCAGACAGGGGAAGTCACTAGGTGAGTGGCAGAGGAAGAAAACACAGACAGACAGACAATGATGGGATGGATGCTGTCCTGTCCACCAGTGTATCTACCTACCTATCTATGTGTGTGTGTGCAGCTTCATCGGTGGCATCATGACATTTGCCGAAGGAGTGGTGGCGCCAGGCGTCTTCCTCTTCTTCACAGAAGTGCAGGCCCTGCGCATCTCGCTTGTCGTCCAGGCACTCACACTCACACACATACAGAGAGAGAGAGAGAGGGTGTCTGTGTGCCTCAATCAGTTCCTCGGCTTTGCCATTGTGACATCGCTGGTGAATCCGAGTGAGACGGCCACGCTGTTTGCGCTCATAATCCCACTCATCGCAGGTACGCAGAGAGATAGACAGACAGACAGACAGACAGATGGCCCACACACACTCGCACCCATTCATTCATGTCAATAATTCTCAGGTGCTCTCAATTTCGTGGCCATCATGAGTCTGATGACGACCCGCGTGACGGAGAACGAGGTGGCCACCGTGATTGGACTCAACGGTGCGTCCTTCAGCCTCCTCAACACGATATGTCCATCGATCGGCCTCTGGCTCTACTCCATCGCCGGCCTCCATGCCGTCTTCCTCCTCTGCCTCGTCTGGTATGTGCCAACCGAAGTAAAGTCTTTCACTGGATGTGTGTGTGTGCGGCATTCATTGATAGGTCTGGTGTTGTCGCCGTCGTGTTCGGCGTGCCGTCAGCCCTCTACCCCAAGTCTTACCCCCTGCTCTCAGCGCTCGACGCACACCCACCAGAATAAACACACAGACGCACCGACAAGAAACAGAGAGAGACATTGACGGAAGTACGTGACACTCGTGAAAATGACTGAGACACAAGATGTCGACTCATGAATAATTGAAGAGTGGTACTACAACACATATAAGGAATTCCAAATCGCCCTCTGTCTACTTTGAGCGATCGCTGGCCTGCCTCATGCATGAGAGGGAAGCTACGTACTCATGGGCAATCAAGTACAGCAGCCCATGGACAATCAAGTACAGTAGCGGGTCCATGTGTCTACTCAGATGGACATAGGATGCATTCGGATCACTACTTGTATCGTGTCCAGGAGTGGTGCTAGCCGGCGAGCTGCCTTATCTACCCCTCTCTCTATCTACCTGGTGCGTTTCGGCCGGTCGCTGCGCAGCGGGACCGGCGGAGACGACATCGACATTTCTGACACAGCACAACACACAATTGATACATCACGACACATGTTCACATTAAGGTGGTTCTTGATTGCAGGGAGGCCCATGCATGTGCAGCCGTCCCCGCCTTTCGTCTGTCTCCCCTTCTTCCTCGTGTGTGCAGTCATGATGTCCTTCTTCATTTCATCGTCGGCCGACATGAGCCTGGCCCGCTCCACCACCGTCGCCATCAGCTCCCGCACCAGCAGCTGGAACTTGGCCAAATCTATCTCGTCACCATCGCGACCGTGCAGCACTCTCTGTCGCAGGTCCATCAGGTCAATCAAAGAGAGAGACGCCTCTGGACAGATGTTTTCGGAGAGATCTTGTAGGGCGAGGAGGGACTCGTGTGCATCCAGCAGGCCGCTGCCGTCGGTGTCATGTGCGGCGGAGAGTCCCATGCACACCTCGCCAAAGATGGCGGGGCTTCGCCGTGCCGTCAGCTTCTGCAGAAGAGTGAATGTGCGGGACGACACAATCCCATTGGCCACCTCAGACCTGGTGGACAGACACGCGCCCGAAAAATACATTAGGTGGCCGGCTGCATGACAATTCACCCATGTCTCACTCACTCACCGTACCGTAGCACACACACCTCCAGGAAGCTTCTCAGCAGCCTTTTGAACTGGTCGTAGGATATCAGCGCGGCCCCGATGGCCCGAGGGACCATCCCTGCAGCTGCTGATGGCACGGCTCTGCCAGGTAGGGGTGGGGGTGACGGTGAGGATGACCGAATGGATGGCGAGATGGTCTGTGAGGCGTTTAGGCGGTCGTCCACTGACACCGGGAACATGTCGGCCATCAGGTCCTCCAGCAGGCCGTAGAACTGCGCGATATCCGCACAGAAGCGGCTGCCCAGCACCTTTAGGGCCTTGAGCGCCTCATCCTTCGTCAGCTGCCCCTCACCGCTCCTGCAATTGAATGAAGACCCGTGTGTGCGGATCACGTGCGCCATCAATGCATGTGTTGCGTACTTATCGGCGGCCCGGAAGGCTGCCATGGCTTTGGTTTCAAGCAGCTGGTCGTCGAGCTGCAGCCGCTGCACGGCACGGATCAGACGTGGCGGCAACCGTGAGTCTGCCATTGTCGCTCGTTCGGTGAAGCTGAGCAGAATGGACTGCAGCATGAGGTTGAATTCCTCGAGTGAGGCCGTGCCGTCGTTGTCCTTGTCGTGCTGCATCCAGCTGTGCTGCACCTCATCCATCGTCAAGGTCACGCCGAGAGTGTACTTCTCGGCCAGGGACTTCAACAGGCGCAGGGCAACGCGGCGGTCGATCTTGCCGTACTCGTTGGCCTGTGGCTGGTGGTCCAGGAAATACGCCTCTGCTCGCTTCTCCAACTCGATGATGCCCTCCTCGCTCGTCACGTGCTCCAAATACGTCAGCAACAGCCTGCACATACCAAAGACGTGGCCTGGCGCGTGTGCCATGGCATGTCCCTCCCATGTCTCTCCCCCACGCGCACTTGGGCAGCTTGAGGGTCCGGATCTCTGCCCGCTCAATTGTTTCGTCGATGAATCCCCGCATCAGCTTGGCGAATTCGTCTTTGGCGAGTGTGCCGCTGTCGTCGCCGTCAGCCATCGTCCACAGCCTATCATAATCCTCGAGCGAGGGGGGCGCAGTGGGGCAGATGACGCGTGACAGGGCCTAGTATATGTGAAGGCCACATGTCGAATCACAGGAGAACACACAAATGTGCACGGCAAGAAATATACCTGCAGGCAGCAGAGCCCCTCGTGTCTCTCCAGCTGCCCGGAATCGTCAATATCGAATCTCTCGAAGATGTCATCAACAAGCGGCTCAAAAATCTGGGGCTTCGCTGACACCCGACGCAGCCCACTCAGCATCCTGCAGGCATACAGGCGACAGAAAGACCTCGTCGTGCGATGCTGGTGGAAATTTCACTGACTTTTTGGGCAGCTGTCCCTTGCAGATGTAGGCAGCGTCGATGACATGTCTCAAGAAGGCGTCCGTCATCTTGCTGAGGCCGTCGACCGAGAGCACTGCCGTCCGTGGCACGCCATGCACCTGTAAGTACGCCCCAATCCACATGGAAGGTGGCTTGTGTCCCTCCCGGTCAGTCCTGCGAGTGCGCAACGGACCTTTTCCATCAGCATGCGGAACACCCGGTAGGTCTCGTGCTGCATGCGGAACTCGTTGCACTCCGACAGCCGCGCAACCAAGTCCTGCAGGCATATCAGCACCTCCTCGCTGTCCAGCCCATTGCTCCGGTCCACATCGGCCGCCCGGAACACGTCCATGACCTCACGACGCAGCATCGACGTACAGCCACCAGTGACACCGCCCTTAACGCCAGGCGCCGACCTGAGCGATGAGGAGAGAGAGGGGAGCGGAGCGGCCTCGATCGCCGCCGAGAGAAGGTGCTGGGTGTGGCTGCTCAAACGACTGGCGGAAATCGCGGCTCGTTCGATGATCGTCTGTGCGTGCAGCGGGCACGCATGATGGATGAAGGGCGACTGGTGGCGAGCGTGTAGAGTACCTGTGTGATCATGTGGATGACCTCCTCAACTTGGGACAGGTCCAGCTGCTCACCAACCTTCAGAACGTGACACCAAAATCGGACTTCGGATTGTGTGACGCTGACCGCAAAACACCCCCAATCCATGACCTCCTGAACACAGATGAGATGGATGCCGGCCGCATACACACACAGAAGCTGACAGCTCTCTCTCTCTTTTGTACCTACCTACCCGGACACAGTCGAATGCCTCTTCCCTCGGCAGCTTGGCCGATGGCTCACTGCCTGCCAGCCGCACAAACGCCGGCCGGCAGCTGGCCTGCCTGTGCTCCTTCCTGTCGTCGCCGAGCTGCATCGACATGTAGCGTATCTGGCTGTCACTGACGCAAAACCACACTACATCAGATTATGTACCACGTGGGTTCATCTGGTGGGGTGCTTACGGGAATCGCCACTCAGCAGACGCATGGCGCTCTGGCACCCACACACACAGAGAGACATGCGCAACAGAGATTGCTCCTTCCGTCCCACAGTTGGACTGACCAAGCAAAGCGACGATGAAATCCCGAATGATTGCGGTGAAGGCATCACGGTCGACCTCACACTTGACGCCGCCGCCGCCGAGTGAGCGGCACCTGTTGAACGAGGCTCGCAGGGGGGACGGCATTGATGGGTCCGCCCTGTCGACACTGTGGAATGCCAGCCTGTAGAGAAGAAGGACACGTGTAAGTCGGGTGGAAGAAACGCGTATGTGGCTGAGTCTGACCGACCAGTGGACGACCTCCTCTTGTGTCGGCCGGCGATGAGGGACGTATCGATAGCACAACATCTACACGGTGGGCAAATCTGCATGCCATGCGTGCATGTCTCTCTCGCCGCTCTGCCTACCTCGAGGCCTTTCAGGACTCCCGTAGGTGTCAGATAGACGTATGGCCCAATGGACGAGGGGGCGTGCGAGGGGACACTCCGCTGTCGCTGCCCGAACTCATGGAAGATCTGGTCGATTAGGCCCTCCAGCAGCTCTGTCTTGCGGATCAGTCGCTGGAGGTCCTCCACCATGGCGGGAGGGATGAGGAAAGAGGATATCACCGACCTGACTCAAACACAGGAGGGGAAAATGCAAACAAAAGAGTCCCAATTCAGTGTGTCCCTTAGGTAAACTGACTTTTCTGCAACGAAGAGAAAGTATTGTCTGCACAGCTCCCTGAACTCGCCTATCGAGATGCTGGAGTCCTTTGTGAGGTCGTCGTCGCTACTGTGTGTTTTGCCGATCAGCGACCACCACCGATGGAATGCAACTGGGTCGGGGGGGCGGTCGGGACACAACACGTTGCTCACACACTGAGTGAGACACATTGATTGCATCTTCCACGTCTCTCTCCCTGTCTTTGTTTTCCGTTCGCACACCTCCAGGGCCTTGTAGGCAAGCAGTGGTGACAGCCTCAGCTTCTCTGTCTGCTGCTGGGTGGACGAGGCCGAAGTGCACGAGTGGTGGTGGTGCGACGGAGCCCTCGACAGCAGCTGTGGGGGGGAGGTGCCAGTGGCGTACTCCCTGAAGGCACTGTCGCACACGCGCCGAAAGGCGCGCTTACGGCGGAATGACAGGAAAGACTGTAGGCAGGGCAGGGAGGCAGAGAGAGCAGAAGGAGAGCACGTGAGCAGCTGTGCGGAAATTTCAGTGAACTGCATGTTTGCCGACCTGCAGGCCACGGGTCAATGCCGGTGTGAGCTGAGCCTCCATAATGGATGCGACGGCAAGGCGGTCGGTGAGGTACCGCTCAACGAGAGATCCGAATTCCACTCGATGCTCCTCCCGACCCGCCAACAGCCGAGCCCCAGACACGACGCCGAACGACCTGGGAGCCAAAGAGTACACACACGCACCTGCGGCGTGAGGCCTTCCTTGTACGTTGTGTATATGATGGATGCATGGGTACGTGTGCCGTCTGGGTGATAGCTGAGAAGCCTTGTGGCTCATGTCTGCCGGCACCACCTGCTGCTGCGTGAGCGAATCCGACCAGTAGAGGTCAAATTCCTCCTCAGATAGATCGGGGCACTGCAGCAGCTGATGCAACAGTCTCTGAAGAGCTGTCCTTGACTCAGTCTTGGTGAGTTTGGCCCGCAGTTGGCATTTGGTGACCCTCTGCATGATGCCGGGCTTCAGGAGGAGGGTCTGCACGTGGCTGTGGAGGGGCGGGGACAGCCGCCACACACGCATCTCATGACGATGTATGTGGTTGCGCAGATACATCTACACAGATGAGTGAGATGCCCACACAGAGACAGACATTCATAACGAACTCTGCTTACGTGTCTCTCTCTTTCACCTGTGCCAGCATAGTCAGCCCATCCAGTGACAGCCTCTTGTTGACCGCCATGCCGCCCTGCTCCTCAACCTGCACCCACCAGAGGTCAAACTCGTCGCTGGTGGGCACCACGTTGGGCGATATCGCCTGCGCGATGTCTTGCAGACACAGCAGCGCCGCCGACCTCCCCAGAACGCCCTCGCCGTGTCCTGCCCCGTCATCGTCTCTCAGGAACAATGGTGAGGGTGTGCGGTTCCTCGTCGGTGTCATTGCCCCGTGCTCGATGGTGGTCAACGTCCGGTGGTCGAGCTCCACTCGACGCTGGCAGAAGACACTCCGACACAGGCTGTGGAGCGTGTTGTCGATGGAGCTGCCCTCGCTCTCGGTGAGGACTTGCTGAATGTAGTAAGTCATGACGGCAGGGATCTGTTGTGCGGCGGTCTCTGCCTGGAAGATGGCATTGCGGAGGAAAGACCGGACCATGTCCTGGAACTCGGTGAGCTCCAGCACGCCCGTCTCGTCGCGGTCGGTCACCCGGAAGGCCACCTCGAAGGCGGAACGAGACAGCACTGCATCGGGGCTGGGGGGAAAGAATAACAGAGTGAATGCGGTGGTGTTGGGACAGATTGATGCTTTCTTTGTTCTCACTCACCAGAAGCGAGCAGATAGCGCCTGCAGGCATGCCCATGTTTCCTCCATGTCGAGTTCGCCGCTGCCGTCGACATCGAACAACTGGTATTCCACATCAATCGAAGACACAGACACATCGATCATGACGGATAAGGTAAGCGTTGGACGATAGGGTCAGCCCTGAATACCGAGAAATCCTCCCGGCAGCTGGCCACGAACCTCGCTTCATCGGCCAGCTGACGACGTAAGTATTCCAGCATCCGACGTGGCAACCTGGCTGCACCACACAGCCACAACCGCACACACTCATACAGCTTTGCTGCCTCATCGTTTGTCTGCACACTTACCTGTGTAGATCTCCGCCCGGTCCACGACCGTCTGGAAGAAGTGGCGGGCGAGGGTGCGGAAGTCGCTTGCGTCGACTTGTCCCTTGGGCCCTTTGTGCAGCATGCCCCAGAAAGACGCGAACGATTCCTCATCTGGCAGCACGTCCGGGCAGAGCCGTTTAGCGAGGTCCTGCAGCGCGAAGTACGCCTGCATTCTGGGCAGATGGTGGCTGGTGGGATTGCTCTGGCGGTTGAAGGACTCGTTGCAGTATTCGCTGAAGAGGGTAGCATCCTTGAGGAGATGGCTCAGCAGTTCGGCCTGCGGCATGGACAAACACGTGTGCAGTGGCTTGCTTAGGTGTGCACGTGTGTGACTGACCATGTACTTGGGGAGTCTGCCAGCGTGTATGACGGCCTTGTCGTGGCAATATTTGAGATAATCACGAACAAAAGACTGAAAATCCGCAAATGTCAGGCCGCCGTCGTCAGCCTTGCCCAGCATCTGCCACCTGCAATCCATCGCATGGGGGAGACACCATTGCTCCGATGAGACCGTTGTCTTACCAGAAGTTGAATTGCTCGCTGTCCGGGATGCTGTCAGGGCAAACGACCATCGCCAAATCCTACAATCGTACAACACACACACATCTGCATGTTCGCGCATGATGAACACGCTCCCATGCCTACAGTGAGGCAGAGCATGGCTTCTTCCTTCTCAATTTCGCCGCTGCGATCCGCATCATACTTGTGGAATGAACGCTCCACATGGTGCCTGTGTTTGTGGGCAGAGAGAGTGTGCGTGTACAAAGGGAGACAGACTCGCTGTGTGACACACTTGAGCTCCCGTGCATTGCTGAGCAGCAGCCGGATTGTCTCCAGCCGTGAGGCGGGCACACGGCCGCGGGCTATCACCGACCGCTCCCACGTGCTATGCAGATGGATGGAAACCATCTCGTGAAGTGCCTGAGAGAAATATGATGGGACAAGGCTCGAGATCCCTCATTGCGTCTCGGGTACATGTACCTCCTCTGTGAGTCGGCCGTCAATGTCTCTCCCTCTGAGCCTCATCATGAGCAGAACCCGGTCAGCCTGCTGCTGTGTCGGCACCACCAGTCGGCTCACCTCCCCAGTCACCTGCTGCAGCGCACTTGTCGCCGTGTTAGTATCATCGCCGTGGCCCGCCGCTTTGATGTAAGTCGCATGAGTGAGGCACCGGAGACGCGCCTCATCCGACAGGAGCTGTTTGAGCTCATCTGTGTCGGCCTTTGGGAGACGTCCCGAGGCAACCTCGGCTCTGTCTATGACGTTGGTGATGAAGTATTTGACGATGCAGGAAAACTCTCCCACATCGAGCTCTCCGCTGTCGTCCTGATCGAGCATCGCAAACCAGCGCCCAAACGATTCAACAGACGGCATGGCTTCTGGGCACAAGTCCTCGGCCAACTCCTGCCAATGCCACAACCAACACACACAGCACTCAGCTCTCTCCCCCCCTCTCTCTCTCTCTGTGTTGGTGACTTTGTCGGTGGGACCATGAGGCTGTTGTATGCCTGTTGCAGGTTGAGCACACCCGTCCTGTCCTCGTCATGCTTCATGAATTTGTGTTGGCAGTTGAGTGCGAGCAGCTGTGGGCTGGCGAGGATGGTCTTGAGCGGCAGCAGCTGACGGGACAGCTCAGACATGGGGTGGCCAGACTCATCCAGGGTCTCAAACAGCTGCTGCTTCCGGCTGGCGGCGTCGAACTCACTCTCGAAGTCACTGCGCAGAGAGAGAGAGAGAGAGAGAGAGAGGGGGAGGGAGGGACAAAAGGAACCAACACGAGTATAATTGCATCGTGCTTTTCGTGGGTCGACACACCGAAGGTTGACGCCGCTGAAGGCGAGAAAGGCATCTGTACGCCACACCAGTGCAAACACTACTCACAATCAGCTGCAGTACTTTTCGCCCCCCGAGCCTCCCTTCCTCACCTGCTACGGTTTGGTGCAGTTTGTCGGGCCTCCTGGTCACAACGGCCTCAAGCGCGTCAGCCACGTGCTGGCGGGTTTCCGCATCTACCTCAGGCCAGTTCATCGATATCTACCCGTCAAGCAGTGCAAACTACGGCCTTTGCATCACTTTGCTACTCGGGCGGCCCAGCTACAGACGCAAGGTGGACAGTTGGTTGGTTGGTTTCTGGGGGGGGAGGGAGGGGAAAACAGCTAAGCTCGCAGAATTACTCCGTCCCGTCTGCGCGTCCCGTACCTGCTTAGATAGGATGAATGAGTGATGCCATCCGTTGCGTGACGACGGAATGAGTTTCCAATTCTTCCAGCGCAGCCAGAACGTGTCGCTCACGCGCAACACCAGCGCACAGCAGAGAGGTAATATGGAGAACTTACAGGGATACAGAAAACGATGTCACTGTTGCGTCATGTTTCCCTTTAGACCGTTCGGGCGGCGTTTCTCTCCGCAGGAGAGGCAGCAATCCGCCATCCCGTCGCGTGGCGCCCTTTGCCAAGAGCCACGCAGCCGTCAGACGGCAGAGGATGGCCGGGGTGGCCGCCCTGCTATCCTCCAGCCAGGCCGCGCGAGGCATGGATGAAGGCGATGGCGGCGGTGCCCCGATGAACCCCTTTGCCTCTGCGGCTGGTGGTGGTGGTAGTGGCTCAGAAGGAGCTGTGAGTTCTTTCGGTAGTATAGATGATGGACAGCAGGCGCAGGGATGGCAGAGGGAGACGGAAAGACCCGCGCAGGCCAGACGTGAGAGAAATGGGAGGCCGCGGGATGCCGCCATTGGTGCGTGTGGTGGTGGTGGTCATGCTCTCTCTCTGTGTGTGTGTATGTATCATGTGTCATTGATCAGGTGCGAATCTTCGTTCGATGCCGTCGCTTGATGAGATAGTGGCTGGTTCGACCCAGTCGGTGTCAGCGGCGGATGAGCGGCCGGCCGGCACACCCTTCCAGCCGCCCTCGCCACCCGCCATTGTCGTCAACGTATCGCCATCACCCTCACTAGCCCTGTTCAAGGTGATGCATTCGCCAGAGAGAGGGCGCCAGAGGAAGAGAGCCGAGCGATATCTGTGTGGTGTGTGTGGTGATGGTTTCCATCAGACGCCTTTGTCGAGCGGCCGGCCGCACCATTCGCAGACGAACCCTCTCATGAGCATGGCTGAGCTGCAAACCATGGGCAACATCGCTCTCGAGGCAGAACTACCCAGACCTAAGGTGAGGCAGGCACCCGTGTTGTGGCTCTTTAGGTGGCGGTGTGTACGTTGCTTTGGGTGTGTATCAGGAGGCGTTGCTGCGGAGTTTCTCGACGTCTGTCCGCAACGGTTTCACACGCGAGCGGACGATCGGCGAACTGACGGCCATGTGCTCGTAAGCAGACAGACACAACACGCCTAGCCTAGGCAGCAGCAATCAACACAACCACTCTCACTCTGTGTGTGTGGTGTGGATGTGTGTGTGTCAGCGAGACGAATGCGCGTGAGCGTTCGACGTCTCAGACGCTGCACGAGTTGGAGGCCGAGTGGGACGCCAATACGCGATCGGTCATCAAGGACGGCAACAAATTCAGACCTAACTTGAGGCATGCCATCAAGCCCTTCTCCAGGTCAGTCAGGCGCTCTCCCACACAGGCAGGCAGCGGTCATGGGTAGCGTGATAAATGTGTGTGCACGGCCGTGTGTGCAGGTCGTATGCGGGTCGCGAGTTTGCCGGCACGGAGATATCGACTGTGGCCTGGTGCCGCAAGACGGTCGACTACCTCATGACGCAGGTATGTGTGCATCAGTACACACATGGGGCGTCTCCTGGTCTGACCGTTGTGTGGTGTCTATGTCAGGTGATCGATCTGGACAACTACCCTGACGACACCTTCGGCCGCAAATGCTTCGAGTGAGAGAGAGAGAGAGAGAGAGAGGGGCCAACAGCCCACGTCACTCCATCCATCCACAAACCAATGTGTGTGTATATGTGTGATGTTGTGTAGGTTGACCAGCTTGTACAACTTCATTCGGGACCGGCTGCGATCGCTCATGCAGGACCTGCAAGTCCAGGACGCACACAAACACAGAGTGGGCGCGTCAGACGTTGAAGCACACACATGAAATGCCATCCACTTGTGCGGGCAGAGCAACATCGAGACCTGTGAGATCGCATTTCGCTTCTTCATATTCGCCGACCAGCTGGTGGGTGTGTGGCGGCCGACAACAAGACACACAGCGCGACCGATGCTTATGTGTGTGTGTCAGCTGTGCGGTGAGAGCGAGGCGTCTGGCTTCACCCCCGACGGCAATGTGGGACTGATGGACAACTGCAAAGACAGGCACGGCACACAACCTCAGCGCTCCCACCCCACTGGCCATACAGACAGACAGACAGACAGATGAGCATGTTGTGTGATATGTCGTGTGCACAGACTGAACCAGGCGTACTCATCGGTGCGATGGCAGCTGGAGGCCGTGGCCAAACACCCCGACCAATGGGAACACGTCAACAGCATCAGCGGTATACACATGTATGTGTGTGTCAGCACCTACCAAGTGTGATTCTATGCGTTCAGTGTACAAGTCGCCCCACGAGGCGGAAATCCACTCGTACATCCTCCTGGCCAGCCTGCAGGGCAGCAGAAAACGAAAACTCAACGAGTTCCTCGGTCCGACATGCAGCATACGCACAACGAAGGCCTTTCACTAATGTGCGCCCACGTCTGCAGAGGCAAACGGGATCCTGAGAAAGGTGCCACGCGACCTCTCCTCGCACCCGAAGGTGAAGTTCGCCATGGCTGTGCTGCGGGTCTATTTCGCCAACGACCTACTCAAGTTCATCAAACTCATGAAAAAGGCAGGCACGCACACACATGAGATGGATGAGATGGATGGGCCGGGGCCAACACATTGGGTGTCTGTGTGTGTTGACACACGCATGCAGGCTGATTTCCTGACGGCGTGTCTGATGGACATGAGCCTCAATGCATTGAGGCTGCGGCAGCTGCTCAGAACGGCTACGGCCGTTAGACGAAGCGTACGCTTGCCACCTCACACACGCGGACACACACGTCTATCTATATCTGTATGTGTGTGTGTGCAGACGAAGGGCCAGAAGCTCTACACAGTGCCCATCCAAGACTTCACACACATGCTCGGTAAACACACAACACACATACCACACACACAGCCCTCCCCCTTGCCCCCTCCCCCTTGGCTCGTTGCTCCCATCCATCCATCCATCCATCAGGTTTCTGTTCGACGCGCGAGGCCCGTCGTTGGCTGGAGCGTCTGCGAGTGGGGATGGAGCCCTTCTTGACCTACTGCGCCGAGCACGAGGAGCAGCGCAGCAGCCCCATCATGCCGCTGCACCAAATCAGGCAACAAGTCCGCACGGAAAAACCGTAGGCAAAAAGCACTGAATGATGAGGGAGGGAGGGAGGGAGGGAGGGAGGAACGGGCAGCATAGGGCGACGTGTGTGTGTGTGTGTGTGTATGTGGGCAGTGGTGACCCGTCTGTGGTCGATTTGGAGGACATTGCCACACGCATCAAGCACCTGCAGCAGAGATACGTACGTAGGCAGACGATATCAGACAGACGACACGAGACGCCAATGCGTCTTCGTTGTAATATTGGCTCCGCTCTGGTCTCATTCATTCATTCATTCATTCATCAGTCTGCCTACAACATCCGGCTGCCCCGCTCCCCCTCGCCCATCCTGGCCACACGACTCAGGCAGATGGGCCTCACGCGCAAGGAGGTATGCATCGCATCACCTCACACACGAGAGATGGGGTGGGATGTCTGTGTGTGTGTGTGTGTGTGTCAGCTGTTGGATCCTCCGCCCGACGCTCCCTGGGTGCTGTCATCGTCCTTCGCCCCCGTGACGCCCCCGTCAGCCGACGAGCTGCCGCCGTCTCCTTTGCTGCCCCCCATCGCACCACCATTCACACCACCCACACCTCCCCCGGCCATACCCACGTCGCCAGGAGCAGCAGCTGCCGAGGCGTCGCCCCTGCCCCCCTACTCGCCCATCTCACCTGAAACATCTCCGCAGGAGGAGGTCGAGGATATGGGCGAGGTCCGCAGCGTGCCACGCCCGGATGCGGCTGCCCGGCCCCCTTTGTTCCCAGCGCCCTTCCCGGCCCTCATGCCTCCACAGGCACCACCACCAGCACCATCACCACAGAAAAGATCTGATGAGCAGCAGCTGCAGCAGCAGGAGCGTGTGTTGAAGGGCAAGAGGGCCCGCGACGGCGATGATGTGGCGGTGGAGAGTGACGACGGCGGCAAGAGGGGCAGACACGTGCCTGCCGCCGTGGCCGAGACAGGGGGGAAAATGGGGACGCCCGATCGCTATGCAGCCGCTGTCGAGCAGAGACGGGCGCCATCACCAAAAGTGACGGTACACAAGACAACAAAGCACAACACATCCATCCATCCATCCACCCATTCACTCTCCCCCCCGTCTGTCTGTCTGTGTGCCATGCATGTCAGGGTGAGGACGAGTTGGCTGCCTCGATGCCCCCGTCGGCCCTTCTCCCCCTCACACCACCCACCCCCTCAGCTGCGTCACGCAGGCGGCCCCCCACTCCCTCACCGCCCATCCGTGAGCCCAAAATCGTCAGAAAGGACATCAGGAAGCGCTTGCACTCCGGCCATGGACTGGGCTTCTGGGGCACAGCCAAACGCACCAAAGCGGCAGCGGCGGCAGCAGCAGCCACGGTCGAGCAGCAGAGGCCTCCTCTGGCAACAGAGAGAGGGGAAGGGGGAGAGGTGCCTAGTGGTGCTGGTGGTGGTGCTGTGGGTGAGAGTGAGGGTGCAAGGGAGCCGATGGTGCTGGAGATCAGCGAGGAGGCCCACCTGTGGGGCGAAGGGCGGCTCTTCGGCGTCAACCCGCGCCGATATGTGTGGAAGAAGGTCCAGACACCCATCGAGGCTCATGAGCCGCCCCCTCCCCTACCCCCCCTCCAGCACCCGCTGCCCCCTCTCCCAGTCCCGTCAGCCCCGCCCCCGCCCCCACACATGCAGCTGCCGTCTGAGCAGCACATTCGCGACGAGTGGGAGAGCCTCGATGACAGTGTGTCGGTGGTGGGGATGCGTGTGTCGCTCGAGCCGACGGCCGACCGCAGCAAGCGTTTGCGCCGCGAGATGAACACCATGCTCAACCGGAGGCCAGCTGTTGACGTACGCGACGCAAGACGGACTTTGTGCACACACACACACACACGCTCTCTCTGTCTCATCTCTTAGAGGCGCGTCTTGATTGGCTACATCCGCGAGCAGTTCCACCTTGATCGAGATGGCGGAGCGTTCGCCCTCTTTGTCAAGCTCGGCCTCGCCATCGCCCCCACACCCCTCGCCCCCAACACCGACCGCAGCGCCCACGCCTTCCGCACAGAGCTCAAGCGCACCGTACGGCCCACCATCGAGCAGTGGCTGTGCAGCCCCCTCGCCAGGCGGACCACTGCCGATGAGGCGAACGATGCCCGCAGCTGCGCCATCTATCGCTGTGCGACGACTGCCAGCCCACCAGAGGTGCGCCTGTCGACCGTCGGCTTCGATCTGCCGCAGTCGGCTGCTTCTGCCGCTGCTGCTGGTGGTTCGTCGATGGCGTGTGTGGCGCTGAGTGTGGCGACTGTGCATCAGGGGGGCATGCACCACCTGGAAGGGCAGCCGCTGGAGGTGCCTGGTGACACAGAGGGAGAGAACGGCCATGGGGCTGGGCGGTCCATTGTGAGGGACTTCATGGCCACCCCACACATGCCGCTCGCCGACGCGCTGGGCGGTCTCAGCGCACTCATGTGGCTCATCCCTCGTGTGGTGGTGCCCTACTTCTCCGCTATTGGCGAGTCGGTGACAGAGATGACACTCAGAGGCCTGGCCATTCCCGTCGAGAGGCAGCAGGAGCAGGGCTATGACGACATGTCGGCTGAGCTGTCGGCACTGGCCATGGACGCCTTGAGGGAAGAGGCAGAGCGGCTGAAGGCCTTCCTGGATGGCCTGCCCGTGGGTGAGAGGGGCGTGCCTGTGGAGGTGCTCTATGTGGTGGAGAGTGCTGATATGTCCGCTGGGGGCGAGGAGGACGACGAGAGCAAGGCCGAGTACGGGCGTGTGTGGATGGAGCATGGGGATCCTGACCTGGCATTCACCAACCAGCTGAGCGCTCAGATCGCACAGCACATCAAAACAGCACTGGTAAGTAAAGGAATGAGTGACAATGGGGAGGGGTGGGGCGATGGATGGATGAGTGTGATGTCCCTGTGTGTGTTGTGTTGAATATGCAGGAGTCGTTGGGGTGTGCTGACGTCAGTGTGGGTGCCCGCTGTGTGGGGGTGGTCTGGCGAGACCCGCTTGTAGATCGGGAATGGAGGTGTGTGTGTGACACAGGCCTCCCTCCCTCCCTCCCTCACTCACTCCCCCTCTATATGTGTCATGGATGTCTGTACGATGTGTCATCAATCAGGGATGAGATCCGTCTGTCGCAGCAGGAGGTGTTGAGGGCCTACCAGGACCTCGTCAAACGCATGGCCGCAAAACCTGACAAAGGTGCGTGGGATGAAAACCACACACACACACACGCACACAAAAGGACGAACGTGGATCTCTCTCTCTCTCTCTGTGTGTGTGTGTGTGTGTGCAGCCCCATTGGTGTATGAGAGGGTGGAAACTGAGGGCACAGCTCTCCTCCTGAAATGGTAACTGACTGCGTATATGATTAACCACGCCAGGCACACATGAGTGAGTGCCTGTCCCTCCCCTTGATCCATTCGATGGTGCAGTTGGGAGCGCCACTTGGTCGACATGCATCGGTGTGGCACCTGCCCCCCGTCCATCACGGCCGACCACCCCAGCGCCACCGCGGCCTTCAACCAGTCGGTCGTCACTCTCCTCCGCACACACGTGCCCAACGCATGGCGCAGATTGGTGCAGGCAAGCAAGCCGCTCACGCCACCAACACAACACGCCTTGCATTTGTCCATCTCTCCATGGATGGTTCCTTCAATCAGGAGTTGGCGAGCTTCCCACACGGTGGTCGAGACGATTTGCCGCCGATCGAGTGGCGGCCAATGCTCAAGGCGGTCACCAACCGTTTCGGTGACTCCAAGACGCCCCCAACAGTCGACTTCGGCAACGACTACAGCGATGCGGCGTCTCTGCTGCACCATGCGGCTGCCGCCATCGTACAGCGTATCGAGCCGTCGGCCATCGTGGACCGGTCTTTTGACAGCCTGTTTGACGCCCAAGGGCGGCGAATGGTCAACTACGAGAATGTACGAGAGGCCGTGACCAACTTCTGCACCATCGACAGCCTGCTGGCGGCCGAGCTGCCCCCACACACGAGGGCACTGCTGAAGGGCCGGGTGCTGGTGCCACGGCCGATGTATGAGAGGCTGTTCAGTGGGTAGATTCGTGCAGGCTCTTATTTATCTTCGTGACTCTCATTTCCGTGCATGAATGTGTCCAGCCAGCCATCCCACATGCCATTCATTGACACACGAAAAATGTGAGGCGTCCCATCTGTCGTACGTCATGGGCAGCGCTCTTCCCCGCGATGATGCGCAAGTGATTCATGTGGTCACTGTTTGACAGGCCAACTACTGCAATGATGATCGCTCTGCGGCTCGCATTCCGCTGTCCGCCAGGAGGAACCTGGGTAGCTGCCATTATAGACGTCAGATAGACGGGATGCACCCGCACACAGAGGAGAGCATGCGGCGGGCGATGGAGGCCATACTCAACCCGGACGCGATAGGACAGGTCCTCGACTTGCTGCGGGGAGATCTGGACCACGTCAAGCACCTCGTCGACGAGGTCGGTCAGCCGACTCAGCCCATCCACAAGATGGATGCGTCAATTGATGCAATCAGTGTGTGGATGGATGGATGGATGGGTGCTGTCCCTCTGGTCCGTCAGGCGGCGACGCCGGAGGAGTTCGCCAATGTGCACGTTCCTTCAGGCCAAGCAGTCGGTGCACATGATGCTCTGGATGCGGCTTTGGTGTGTGATTTGTGTGTTGTGTGTTGTGTGTTGTGTGTTGTGTGTGTGTGGTGACGTTCGCAGGCTGGCGAAAGTGAGCAAGAATGACCCGCGCATAGATCCGGCCCGTGCAGAGATGACGGCCACTCTCGTGGAGCTCACACGGGCCATCAAGTCAGTCAGTCAGCCAGGCAGCCGACGCACAAACAGCCGACACACGCATGTTTCGTATGTGTGTGCTCACCACTTGCAGGCGGAAGGAGGATGCGTTCAACAACAAGGGCAGCAGCGGGTGAGGGAAGGAGTGAGAGTAAGCCAGCTAGCCGGCTGCATTGGTCCCCTCCATTCCTTTGGTTCTGTCTGTCTGTCTGTCTGTCTGTCTTGTCAGGTCGGAGCCCTCGGCGGCAGCTGCCAAGGCCGGTAAGCAAAGCAGATAGATGGATGGATCGATGGATGAGCCGCCCCGGCTGAGATGCGTGTGGTGGATGGATGGGCCTTCAGCGGAAAAGAACTAACTGACGAAGTGGCAACGCCTGTAGAGCGCTCTGACGGTACGGCCGGCTGGCATACACTAGGAACACACCAAACGTCAGAGCAAGGTGCGTCTGTATGTGTGTGTCGGCATCTCACGCACAGGCTTTTGTAGATATCGGCTGCGGATGGCGAGCGACCTATCTACCTATCTATCTATCCATCGAATTGCTGGAGCCTGCGTGCGTCGGTCAATTGGCTGGCTGGCGTGCCTTCCTTGGTGTACATAGCACATAGACTGGGCGGGGCGGGGTTATCTGTCATGACTAAATAATGGCGGGGTTGTTGGTTGCGAATAGGAGGGTGCATGATTGGTGTGTGGGTGTGGGGTGTGTGGCCAGACGGACTCACGCACGTTTCCATCCATGTGGATTTTGTCTTGGCGAGAGGCATTGACACGCACACACACACGGGCGCACATCGGCCGGTCAGCCACACACACGAACAGTAAGGGTCGGAAAAGCTACGATTGACTACGGTCCACCTCTCAAACCCTCTAACAGAGCAGTAGCACTAGTGCTACAGCCCTCGACAACTAGCTACACACTAAACAGTGATGTTGCGCCGCTTGCGGCCCACCGTCTTCCTACTCCCCCTCTCCACGACCCCATCCGCCCACGCCAGGTCATCCTCACCCTCGCTCTCGTCGCTGTCGTCTCCGCCCTCCTCTCGAGGCTCGTTGAGGGCCTTATCGTAGCGGTACGCCTTGACGTTGCCGCGGCGCCGCTTGCGCGTCGTTTCCTCCTCCTCGGTGCTGGCGCTGGCACCCGAGCTGCTCAGGTAGGACTGTACCTCACCCTCCCACTCGACCTCCATGGCGGCCTCTTCCTCGTGGATCTCCTCCTCCTCTCGGCTCTCCTCGTGCTGGGGGGAGGGCGATGGTGGTGGTGTAGGCTTGGGCACCACGAATCCCTGGCAGACACACAAAGAGACATGAGAGAGGGGAGGGGAGCCGTGTGTATGGATGTGTGTGGGTGCTTTGCTTACAGCCTCCTCGAAGGCCGTCTCGAGATCGTCCTTGTGGTAGGTGTCCGGGCCCTGGTCGATCCTGAATGCACGAGAAAGACATTGCCCTTGTGTGTCTCTTTATTCCCCTCCCTTTCTCCCTTACAGCGCTATCATCTCCTGGATGGGGTCCGTGGCGTTTTGGTACATTTTGGGGATCGGCGCCACGAAGGGGCACTCGTCCACGAAGTCCAGCAGCGCCGTGAGCCACAACTTGAACTCCGACGCCGTGGACTCTGAACGAACGAAGCGAGGCGTGACACGAATCAACACATACAATTAATTGAGTATCCACCCACCCACCCGGCAGCAGGGCGCAGATGTCACCGATCCACCTCTTGTCCGTCTCGCCCCTCGCTTTGAGGTAGGCCTCACACGCCGCTGCCATGTCGGGGTGGTTCCACTTCGCAGACGGCCCCCGGCCGTACTTCTCCTTGGTGGCGTCGACGGCCTTCCAGGCGGCGCGCAGGGCCTGGTCGTCCTGCGCCGCCATCGTCACCGCGGCTAGGCAGCACCGCACACCCGCACACAAATCCTCCCTGAAGGAAGATACAGAGAAGAAATCCGTGAATGAATGCGTGAATGAATGAGAGAGTCCGTCAGTGCGGTTTTTGTGTTGATTGCTCAGTACTCACTGACCTGCCGCACCACTGCAGCCCTCGGAAAGTGTGGGCGCTGGCGAAGGCCTGCGCTCCCCGCATCGTCACCCGACGGCCGACGAAGCCTGGCTCCGTCTGCCATCGCTGCACTTGCAGAGGAAGGGCCCTCGTAGCGTCGATCAGTTTGATACGGAAGGGGGGCCTCTCGCTAAACATGATGTTGCCCTGGTTCATGTCCAGATGGGCCCTCCCCGCCCGATGAAACTGCTGCAGCGCGGCGATCTGCACACATACATCCATACATTACATACACAAACAGCCGACAAGTCAGAATGCATCCGCATCTTCCCTCTGTTCTCTCTCTCCTGTTGCATGCATCATCCATTAATGCATACCACGTGCTCGCACAGCTGTAGTGCCGCTTTGATGGGCAGCGGCCGCCCCATCTTGGCCTGGTACTCCCGTATGAGGTCCTTCACGTCGCACTGGAACTTCTCCATCACGAGAAGCCCCATGGTGCGCCCGCCCTCGGCCTCATACTTGGCGACGCCCATGAACTTGGGCACCAGCGGCTCCTCCCTTGCCCTCATGGCCGCCTTGTAGACCACTGCCAGTGTTTCGGCCTCGTTGGCGAGGGCACGGTCGCCATGATGGTAGCATTTGCCCACATAGGTGCTGCTGCCGTCATTGGGTGCACATGGGGCAAGCAGGACGCACGCGCCGTCTGCACCCTTTTTGAGGGCCTTGTCCACCTGCAGCTCTAGCGGCTCTTCTCCGCTGTCGGCGGCGGGTTGGAGGAGGACTCTGGCGCCGACAGGGGGGTGGCAGAGCGCATTGGTGGTGGTCGTCATTCTCGAATGACGGTGGGGGGGATGGTTGGGGGGGACGGTTGGGGGGATTGACGGGATGAGAGGATGCGAACTTGGTTTGTGAAAGCCCTCGTCGCGGAGAGCTTAACGACTTGTCGCACTTGCAACAGCGATCAGCGGCTCAGGGGGCGGGCAAAACATGCATGCGTGGGTTGTGGGCGAGTCTCAGACTGTGGCCCGTCTCACGGCCGACATCCAGTTGATTCACCGCCCATAATGCCAGTGGTTTGCAAAATGACGAAATTCCTCGAGGGCAGGCGAGATTTCTCGCCGGCAGAGACAAGACTGTGACACAGTCCTGCATTTTCCTGCCCCGAGGCAGAAAAAACAACTTTTGCTCTCTGCTTTCCCATTCCCCTCCCCTTCCCCACTTGTGTGTGTTCATGACGACGCCCACCGCCGTCAACTACCCTGAAGTGGGCGGCAAGTTTCATCTATCCAGCGGAGAGGAGCCCATGGCTCTCGCGCTGAAGAGGACGCTCAAGAAGGGCGCACGATGGCGCCTGTGTGGTGGTGAGTGATTGCCACGGCGGCCAGTATGCGGCCAAGTCAGCCCACCGGAATGATGAGTACATCACCAGGGAGCGGGAGGTGCTGTCCGCGGTGAACGAGGCCGCCAGAACGAAGAGCGAGGAGCCGCGTGTGCCCGGATTATCATGTGCGCCAAGTGTGAGGTCGGGGGCGGGAGCGTTAAGACCATTCTCGTCATGGAGAAACTCCAATGCGACGCCTCCGACCTCACGAGGGAGTACGAGGCCAAGATGAACCGGCCCATGCCCATCAAGGCCGCCCTGTAGACGTGCGATGGCGTGGTACGAATGGATGCATCAGAGAAAGGATGAACCCAATGGGAAAACTCCATCTTACGAGATGTTTGTATGAGCATGCGTGCAGGTTTGTGCCCTGCAGCAGTTCCATGCCGCGGGCAAGGCCCACCAGGACCTGAGCAAGGGTAACATTATGTTTAGCTTGACGGCGCCCTTCATGCCCAAGCTCATCGATGCGTCGAGGGCAATGGACATCCAGCCGTGGCAGATGGAGCCAATCTTCGTCGGCCGCAACTGGTCGATGCGAGGGACCAACGCGTTCAAAGGCCTCATGTGGACCGGGGGGTAAGCGAATAAAGGAGCCAAGATATCCATCTCATCGCCTGTCTTCGCGATGTCCTCTCAGAGGGGACCTGTGTGCTGGTGTGCGGACCTGCCTGGCCATGGTGACGACCAAGGCCTTCGAGGGCGACGAGTTCCGCGCCGCCTCAAGGGCGCTGAGCGAGGCGACGGCCCAGGCCATAGCGGAGAAACGGCCGGGCGGCAAGGACCACCCCACCGTGGTGGCGGCGGCCGGCAGATACCTCAAGGCCCGCGACAAGGCGGACAACAAGTGTATAGATGACATCTGTGGAATGCTGCCCGGTGGGTGGTGAGCGACACTTCTGCAGTGCTGCCACATTTGTGTTGATTGATGCATTCATGGATGCAGAGTCGACCGCTGCCGAGGTCAAGGAGCTGCTGGAGCACCTGCTGGGGCTGGGCGACATGACGCCTTATGGGCCGACGCTCCCGAAGATCTATGAGTTCTTCAGGGATACCATCGAAATGATAGTCGACGAGTAAGGGAGGGAGGGAGGGGAATGCAGAGACACAAATGGACAATGTCTCCCTCGCTGTGACTTCTCGTCCATTCAGGATCGACAAAGGGCCCGACACCTACCACAAGGACGATCTAGAGACGGCCTTCGAGCAGGCCATTTTGCATTGGTGGGCGCATCCATTCAGGCACACGGCCCCGTCTCTTGTCTGATGTCTCCCTTTGTGTGCTGATGTCTCCCGTCGACGTTGACGGCCAGCACCAAGTGCAGCACAGCCGTCAGCAAAGTCGTCCAGCAGGTCTGCTTGCATACAGACACCCAACACACACTCATCCGTCCATTTGCCTGTCTGTTCTGTGTGCCTCCATCTATGTGTGCAGATCGTGTGCAAGATGGGCAGCGCTGCGTGGGGGCTCAACGTCAAAGGCAGAAGGCCGACGAGAATTGTATTCTCGGCCCGCGCAAGAGCAAAGGTGACGCCACAGACGTACACGTGTGTTGCTGGTGTGCAGATCGCTGGCTACATTTTATATTTGACGGACTTTTTGTGACAACTCCCCCTCAACCGCACTGCCTTGTCCAGCCGTCCGCGCGTCGAAGGTCAGCTGTCGAAGTAGACTGATCAACTCGCGTGTACGTGTATTGGGTCTCTGTGTGCAGATGGATCGCTGTCTACATCTTATATCATGGGCCTCTCCCCCTTCGTCCAAGCGTGGCTGCAGACCCTCACTCACGCTGGTGACCTTTGGGTTGCTTCCGCTCTGTTTTGGTCTCAGGTTGAGCGTGAGCTGGCCATCGTCTGCGAGGTACATAGATAGGGGGGCCACGCACAGAAAGTCATGCAATGCTGCATCGTCCGTCTGTGTGTGTATATCCTGTGCGGTCATCTGTTGGTTGCAGCCCGTCCTCAAGCCCCTCAAGCTCAAGACCTACATTTCTCTGCCTGCCTTCCTGCCTCCCCGATCTGCCTCAGGATGTCGAAGACGCAAAAGAAGAACATGAAGAGTGCCGCCAAGAAGAAGGACAAGAAGGGCCTCGCGTCACAGGTACACAGATGAGTGCGCCATGCATGCAGGGGTGAATGAATTCATTGTCGTGTCTGCCATTCAGGTTGGTCCAGTGAGGCCTGAGATACCTGTCATCGAGGAGCCAGAAGTGCGTGTTGATGCGTACACAGTGGACACAACCCGCACAGAGCCTGGCGTGTGTATGTGTTCATTCAGTTTTCGTTGGACTTGGGCTTTGCGGCCATCAACGTCTACGAGAACATCAAGTTCAAACACTTCAACATGAGCCTGGTGAGTGAGCACACGAGGGTCCCAGACTCTCGCTGCTGACCTTTCGACTGGTCCCTCTTTCGGTCTCAGGATGAACAGGAGTTGGCGGCTACTCGAGAGGTAGTCAGGGCCACACGCAGAAACCCATGCATCGTTGTCTTGCCCTCCATCTGTGTGTGTACCCTTTGCGCTCATCTGTTGGTTGCAGCCCGTCAAGCCCGTCTACCTCAAGACCGACTACCTCAAGACCGACTCGACAGTGGTGGGCACACACCTACAGACAATCGCACGCACAAGCAGAAAGAGAAGCGAATAAGTGTGGGTGTGTCCTCGTCAGATATCGGATGACACTGGCGACGGTCGCACCTACGACCAGACGGACGAGAGCGACGTGGACAAGGTATCTATCGATCGACACACAGCACCCACACGCGCACACATAGGCAGACCGTCTGTGAACACTTCCATGCGTGTGCATGCGTCTGTCTGTCTGTCTGTCTGTCTCTGTGTGCAGTTCGTGAGTTCCAAGACCATCCGCAACCGGAAGTCGAGACAGCGACGCAATGCTCGCAAGGCCGCCGCCAAGGTAGGTCGATGTGCACACTCAGACACTCACACACACAGATGGGCTCCCGTGTGTCATTCATTTGCTTTGCAGAGCGGCAAGAAGCCCAAGCAGTTCGCCACGTCACAGTCTGAATGGCTCGCTCAGTCAGAGGGGAAGGAATGGCCATTGGTACGTCACTGTATTGCAACAATCATTTGGTGGGCAGACACGAGCAGACACGGGGGAGTGCACACCACTGCCGGCCTGTAAGCGAGTATGTGCGTAGGTATTAGTAGCTGTGGTGTCGCTGTGGATCGATCCATGTGGAAGTCAGGACCTTCTTTGTTGGACGGGGTGAGTGGGGGGATGGATGGATGGATGGGGGCATTCTGGCGAGTGCGCAGGAAGCCGCGGCTGAGAGGGAGAGGGAATTCGAGGCACTAAGGGCAGACAAGAAGGTATTACCAATCACTAGTCCAGCGGCCAGAGCCACTCGCCATCCCTTTGTCTGTTGTTGCTGCTTGTAGACTGTAGACGAACAACCGGCGGCGGCCCATTCGGCCAGAACAGACTTGGAGGCGGAAGTGTCGTCATTGAGGTCAAGTGCAGCACAAGGGGTGGAGCCTGACCAACCAGCTTGAAGACGGCAAAAGGACCACCGAAAAACCCTGATGACGAGCCAGATGACGACTCTGACATGATCGACCAGCAGGACCCCGAGACCACAGCCAATCGAGTGTCGCACCTCGAGGCTCAAGACTGAGCAGGACGCCGAGACCATCCGGTGGCTCTAGGCCGACAAGCGAGTACGTGCGCTCTATCCAATGCACACTTATCGTCACAGAATCAGCGAATGCATTCGTGTCTCGTATGGCGTGTCGTTTGGGTGGCTCCCCTGACTTCTTCCAGGCACGAGAGAAGGAGCTCATCAAAGCCAATCAACAGCTTGCTGCCGATCTGGAGGCCGCATGAACGCCGTGGTGGGACGTCACGTCACAGTCTGAATGGCTCGCTCAGTCAGAGGGGAATGAATGGCCGTTGGTACGTCACAGTATTGCAACAATCACCAGGTGGGCAGAGACGAGCAAGACAGCACACACACACACACACACACGAATATATCGAGACACGACTTCTTTCGTTGGTATGTCTTCTTTGGTTGGACTGGTGGGGGCAGGACGGAGGCTGAGAGGAGTGAGAGAGAGACGAGGTGCATCATACTGCCGGATGGCGCCTATGTTCAGGTGCGCTTGATCAGCATTCTTGGCATCCCGTCTGTAGATGGCTGCTTACATTTTATATTCGGACGTCCGTGTCTCCAAAGCGACGACAGACGACGTATAGACAGACCCGCCCGGCCAGCTCGGGGAAGAGAGGTGGAGAACTTTCTACCTTTCTCTGCGCATTTGAGTCTTGTCATTGACAGACACTTCATTACCATGCATGTGTCACAACGCACATGAACCCTTCCCTCTGCACACAGCAACGCACTCACGATGATGCTCACTTGAATCTCACACAGTGAAGGCCAACAACTGAGTGGCATACACAAACGAAGACGGCACTCACAAGACTAAGATCAGTACGCCATGCCTGTCTGGAAACACGCGATGACCCCCCACGCCAGCGGCACGCAACAGCAAGGCCTCTTGTGGCCACTCATCCATCCATCCACTCATCCATCCATCCATCCCTGCCCCTGTTTGGGACATCGCCTCACACACATACGATGCACCCAGAGCCTCTCATCTGCCCACCGATCTTCCCCGAGGGTTGTCCTCCTTCGTCGCATCAGAGAGCCAAATGGGATGGTCCATCTGACGTCTGATGCGACGATGGTGGCGAACCGATCAGACAAGGTCAGCAGGCAGACACCAGCCAGTGATAGCCTCTCTGTTATCGATACAGACCGCCCCGCTGTTTCCGCCTCTCTGCCCACTGCACCGCCCGCCCCAGACGCTCTGCGTGTTCTCGACTAAACTCGAAACACACAGGACATCAAGAGCTGCTGGCAGAGGGAAGAGAGGCCAGAAAGTGGAGCTGGCAACAGGTGAGTCTCTTCGAGAAAGACACCGCCACACGAACCCCTTCGTCATAGAAAGACAGAACACAACGGACTGAACCGCCTCTCAGTGCAAAACACAACAGCACCATCTCACCAGCAGCAGCAGCAGCAGTGTGTTTGTGTGTGGTCGGCCGATCGGCTCATTGTCTGTCTGTCTATGCGGTGAGTCCGAGTTTGTTGGCCTCTTCCTACCATTCCAGGAAGGGTACATCTTGTTGAGGGCCTCGACGTACCTGACTTTGGCCTCATCGGCAGACACAAACTCGGCCCTCTGGCTGCTGCTGAACGAACGTCTCAGTGCCAAATCTGCACAACGCACCGCACCACACCACACGACACGACACGACACCACACCACACCAATTTTCGGCCGCCCAGTCACTGGCCCTTCCCCACCCTCTCTCCCTCCCTCCTTCCATCCCATCCACTCACCCAGCACGCTATGTACGTTGAGGTGTGTGTTGAGGTCACCCCCGAAGTACCGACAATAAAGGCGCCACACCGGCAGACCGGCCATACCCGCCCACCTCCTTGGGCGTCACGAGACTGACAACACGGCTGCCGTGACTCGCCAGCAGCCCCAGGTGGGACGGTGCTGCTGAGGGGGTTGAGGAGTGAGGGAGGCTGGCTGCCGGTGAGCTGAAGTGGTGTTGGTGTAGCCGTAACACCATATCTCAGACAGATCTGAAAAATGGCGGCAGACATACAAACACACAAACAAACGACAGCAGACACCGTGGGGTGTGCGTGCGTCTGCTGTTGTCGTGTTGTGCATGACATTGTAAGGTCGGCTCACAGACCAGAGATGGCTACACTGATACGGGCGACAGCACACAGTTTCAGCACTCCAACCCTCCGGTTTGGTTTGTCGGGTTCAGGGTTTGAAATGGAAGCTCGCAAAACCTTCAGGCCAGCCAACCGCTCTCTCCAGGCGAGCAAAGGCGGGAGGGTGAAGACAAAGCGAGGCGGAGAGATGGGGGAGGTGATCTCTTCGCCCCGACCCGGGACGACGGTTTACCCTGACGAGTTGGAGTTGGCCGACAAGGAGTTTAGAGAGAGGCAAATTCGTGAAGGTGAGAGAGAGTGGCAGTGCGCCACAGCCGAAGCGAATCAGTCCCTTCCTCTCTCTCTCTCGCTCTCTCTCCCTGCCTGCTGAAACAGGAAAGATACTCTCGGGCAGGCGGCGTTGGGTAGCGCCCAAGAACAATCCGGAGATCCCAGTGGAATTTGAGGGTGCCACTGTGCGCGCCCTGCAGCGCCGACTGTGGCCGCTGCTCAGTCACGACAACTTGAACCCGAGCCGCCCGGAGTACGTCGTGTTTGAGGGCTACGAGGCTGTGTGTTGGGGCGCTACTGAGGACCTGACGCTTGACGAGGCGTTCGGCTCTGTTGGGCGCACCTTCGTGAGGCCGCTCACCGTCTACGGAAAAGGTACGTATAAGCGGTGGTCACCTTACCTCACACACACACATGTCACCGCCTTGCTTACACACAGAGCCCTCGACGTTGATCGGGTCACCATTGGCGACACCAACAGCTGGCGCCACCCCACCTGATGGTGAGCATGCAAACTTGCGCATTCTCACTCACCCAACTCACTGCGATGGTGCTGGCGCTCGTTTGCTTGTTGCTCTCTCTCTGTCAGCCAGGTGTGCGACCGACCAACGTGCCGCGGTGAGAAAGCGGCATGACGCGCAGCATCTGGCGGCCGAGAGAGGGGAGGACACCAAGCCGGCAGAGGAGACAAAGGGACTCCTCTCACGCAAGCATGACTAGCTGACTGAATGCTGCTGTACCTGACGGCGAGAGGGACGAGCTCAGTGTTCTTTTTCAATAAGCCGATTGTGACACTGTGTGTGTGTTGCTGGATGGATGGGTGGGTCTGCAGTGAGTAGGTCGTACGTGATGGACGTCTTGATATCGCATATCGACGGCCTGCATGTCTGCCGTTGAATAGAATTTATCAAACCTGCAGATGATCAAGGGTACGTGTTTTGCCGTGCGATAGGACAGAGTTCGTTACACACCGCTCAACGTCTCAAATACTTGGACACACTTTTGCACACCCAACTCCCCATTCTCCGTCCCGTTCATCCTTTACATCTTCTGCCTAGCTACTACAGTGCACCATCAGGGAGATAGTCTAAGAGATACTCTCGCATAGCTCGTCGCAACGAGCCATAACCACTCACGTTGACATCAGGTATTTTGTCTCCCTCCTGCCATGGTATAGGGGTGATGCGCGTACAATAGTACTGACCGTCATTATGTCTCTTTTCTGTAAAGCATCCGTCAGGAAAGAGGGTGCCGCTGTGAATCTTCCCCTCTCGCCATTCACCCTTGAACCACACCACGGGACCACGATCACTATACTCGAAAGAAGCGCGCCCATCACCGTGCCATTTGCCGTGTTTCCATCTCCCGTTATAGATGACTCGTCGGCTCCCATACATGTCTTCCTTGCTCTCTAGAAGCTCGCCTTCTCCATGTGGTTTGCCATCGAGTACCTCGCCGGAATAGGAGCCTAGCGGCTTTCCCCTATCTCCTTTCAGCTCCATGCAACGCACTTTTCCCTCTCCTCTATATGTCTTCTCCCCATTCGCCCAGTCGCCCTCGTACACTAGCTGGCGGCGGCTGTCGACTTCTTTCCCACGGCCGTGCCGCTTGCCGTTCAACCAGCTGCCCGTGTATACGCATATCTGCTGGGTGAACTCCTGTCCTTGACCGTGCCGTTGATTGTTGTTCCATTGGCCGTCACAGACAATGCTGCCGTCGAACTCCTTGCCTGTGCCGTGCCGTTCGCCATCCCTCCACTCCCCTTCATACAGCTTCGTCGTGCCATCCATTGACGGCAGCACCCCTGTGCCGTGGGGCACTTCCTTGCCGCCCACCTTGCGGATTGAGCCGTGATATTGACCCTCCTCGTACATGATTGTCCGCGCCAGACGGCTGTCGGCATCCTGCTCGGCAGCAATCCTTGATCTCAGCTCTCTCAGCTCGTCCTCCGCTCGACGTGCCCGCTCCAGCGCTTCGTTTCGTTCACGTCTGTGCTCGTCCCTCTCTCTCTCTTGAAGTCGTCCCTCTCCTTCCTGTAGTCATTCCGCTGCGTTTCAAGTTCCTCGATGCGCTTGTTGAATGTACTCCTCTCGCTGTCTATCGACCGCCGAAGGTCTGCAGAGCACAACACAATCTCTTTCCGTGTGGCTCGTGGTTTGTGGTGTGTCCTGATTACCATCGATGACTTGCTGCAGCATCTCAGTCGTCACCATCGAAGACGGGTCATCTGACGGGGGTGGGGGGTCAGCCATGTTCAGGATACGCCTGACAGTGTGGCAAGGCCTCAAATGCACAGGGTTTTCAAAGGCAAGCTCGTGGGGCAAAGCGTGAAACATTTCTCGTCAGGCAGTTGTCATCGTTTGTGTGGTTTTCATCGTCTGCAGGGCCGCATAGGTCGTCCTGATGGTCTTCCTTCCTCGCTTACCCGATAACCATCTCGACTGACTCATCGCCCGACGACCAGATGGCCGACGACAGCAGCCCGAGCAGACAGCCTCTCAACGGCGCCACACGAGGCAGCAGCGGCGCCCCAGTGGCCAACCCGCCACTCTCTCTGCCTCAGAATGACCCTCATGTCGATGATAAGGCTCAGCCGACAAGCGATCTGCCGACAGGACCATCTGTCGGCTCAGCTAAGGCAAGCAGCGGACAGCAGGATTCGGCAGACGCCGAGCAGCTCGATGGAGAGGCGACTCGCAGCGTGGTGGAGCGTGTGTTAGAGGTGCTCGTGAGAGAGGCCGTCCGCCGCATACGCACCACACACAGCACCGAGGAGGCCAGCGATGGTCAGCAGCGGGCGGCTGGTGCTAAGCAGCGCGATGGAGAGGCCGCCAAGGTCGAGGAGAGCGGCAGCGTGATGGAGCGTGTGTTGGTGGCTTTGGTGAGGGAGGCCGTCCGCCGCATACACAGCACACAGGGCAGCCGGGAGGGACCAGAGGCCGCCGCTATTCCCAAGAAGCACCAGATGAAGCGCAGCAGCTCCTTCGCCGGCCACCCATCGCTCGAGGACAGCGACATACCACCTCTGCTGCGGCGCGCCAAGTCGTCCCCGGACCTCGCTGCTTCCCTACAGCAGCACCAGGACCAGGCGAGTGGTGTCGCACAGCAGCAGACAGCCATGGCGCTGGGCGCGGCTGTGGGTGATGATGATGGTGCGGGTGGTGCTGACGATCAGCAGGGCGGCGGTGAGGGTGTGGGGGGTGGCGATAAGGAGAAGCAGCAGGAGGGTGATGGCAAGGTCGATGACCGAGTACAGGAAGAGCGGGTGAGCGAGCCCTTGCAGCAACACACATCACATACACACATGACAGGACTGGGGTGGGTGTGTTAGGATCTCTGTCTGTCGGTGGTCTGTCTGTTCAGAACTCGTATGTGCTGTTCTTGGCGGCGAATCGCATGCTCAAGTTGCTGCGTCTGCCGCTTAGTGTCGGTGCTCGCAAGGAGTATGAGGTGCAGTCGATGATATCGGTGCATTTTCTCACCGCACAGGCCACCGGTAAGTCAGCTACCTGACCCGCAAAGCAGCGCCATGGTCAGTCCCTCTGTGTACTGTGTGCTGTGTGTGTGTCCAGTTGTTTCGTGGGAGGAGGGGCAGGACGCCCGGAAGCTCATCTGCCAGATGGTAAACAAAGCACACACGCACACCCACACACGCATACAATGGCTTCTCTGTTGGTTTCGATCAGCAGCAACGCGTCCTCCCCTGCTCCGTTCGTGACTTTGGCTTAGGACTTTGGCCCAAGAAGAAGGACACCAGTCCCGACAAAGACAGCAGCGCCAAGAAGGGCGGCGGCGGCGGCGGGAGCAGTGGGGGTGGGGGGAGGGGAGCGGCGGGCGCGTCTGCATCTGCATCGTCGGGTGGGGACTCGCCCACGGCGGCATCGTCAGACAGCCCTCCCCTGCCCCTCTCACCGCCGCAAGAGTACGGCCCCAAGACCTTCTTCGATGCCCTCGAGTGCCATCCGCTCGGCAGCCTCGCACGCCAGAACTTCGTGTACCAGTACCTCAAAGGTGACCAAGACACACACAGACACACAGCAGGAGCCCAAGCCGTCCATCTCCCCTTATCAGCGTCTGCCAAGCTGCCGATCTGCCCCGAGCCAGTGCACTATGAGACGCAGCTCGTTCAGCAGGGGGCTGTCAAGGATGGCGACTTCGGCAGTGCGCCTGTCGACTTCTACATCAACGAGCAGCTGGACTGCGACCTGGAGAGCGTCATGCGCTACGCCCGGCAGTGGGCGGCGGGGCAGACGGAGAGCCAAGAGATGGACGACTGGCGACCCGCCAAACTCATCCTCGAGCTGTCCATCGAGGCGGTATGCACACACACACACACACAGACTGGAGAGCTGTGTGTCGGGTTGTCACGTCCTCTCTCTGTCATGTGTGTGTGTGCAGGTCCGTTCATTGCGGGAGCTCCACTCACACGGACTCGTCCACGAACACGTCAAACCTAGAGTACGCACCCCTCCCCGAAGACAACAGCCAATGCACCACATCACTCACGGCGCAACTCTCCTCCCTCCCTCCCTCCGTGTCAGAATATGATGCTCAAGTACGGCCACGGCAAGCGTGTGTATCTGGTGGACCTCAAGAAGTGCCGCCCCGTCCGCTCCAAACCTGGCGACGATGACGAGACCACCCGCCGCAATCGGCGAGGGTGTGGTATGCAGAGCCTCCATGTCGCTTCCATAGCATCTCTCACCTACGAGCCACCGGCATTCAAGTACGTGAGCACTCTGTCGCGCTGAGCTCAACCAAGGGCTGCTTGCCTGCCTGTAGGGATGACCTGGAAGAGCTCTGCTACTCGCTGCTGTGTCTGCTGAAGGAGTCGCTGCCGTGGATGGACAACCTCACCCTGCCTGCGCCAGGCAACATGACCCAGGCCGACCTCAACACCCTGGCCGACGCCAACAGATACACCAACGTAGACCAGCTCTGCGAGGGCCTCCCTGGTAGGCAATCGGAGGGAGGGAGGCGACACAAGCAGACCCAAGCAACTCACTGGTATCTCTGTGTGGTCAGGTGGTGTGTGTGAGTTTGTCAAGGAGGTGCTGGGCTACGGCAGGCTGCAGCTGCCGCGATACGACCACCTGATCGACTTGCTGCGAACAGCCATCGACCAGTGAGCACACTCAGTAGGGTGGACGGAGGGATGGATGGATGTGCCAATGTCTTGTTCCGTCTCCTGTGGTGTGTGTCAGGTTGCCAGCCTCCGAGCATGTGCGTCGGCTGCCCTTCTTGGATGAGGCCCTCACGCCCCCCGCCTGCCGCATCGCCCGGCACTTCACAGACCAACACAACCTCACACGACTCAAGAAACTCGCCAGCCCCCCCGGCGCCTTCACAGAGACCGACCTCACTCCCCCGCCCCCCACACCGCCCCTCCCACCACACACGCCACCGTCGCCCCCACCTGTGGCCAACCGACGCATGCATGGCGTCACGGAGCGTCTGAGGGGCATGGGCCTTCTTGCCTTGGGCGCCTTGGGGCGGGCCATGACCTCCC